CAATTACCCATCCGCTGAAAGCAGAAACAATGGTTTGTGTTTTTTTCTTTCATCCAAATTCTCAACTCAAAATGAGTTTTAACTAACCACCACCACCCCCCCCCCTTTCCTAAAACACTCAAAGGCTTTAAAAAGGTGGCCCCCAAAGAACATGGCTAAAAGGGGAAACCAAAAGACAACTAAAAAAAAAATACCGAATATAAAATGCAGCTGTAATAGATCCAAAATACCCTTGGTAGATAATGTATTCTCGAAGAATATGAAGTGGGAGAGAGGGTGTAATAAATATGTCTCACCTTGGACAGCCTCCTATCAGCGTTGGTGTTTGCCGGTACCCGTCTCCGGAGATGCTCAAAGGCGTCGTTGATGGACTTCATTCGTCTCCTCTCCCGCATGTTGGCAGCCTTCCTCTGCTGGTGTTTCTTGGGCACCCCGTCTCCCACACCTGACAGGCGCGGCTCGAAGTAGCCAGCGCAGTTCTCCTGGTCAGATTCTGGAGAGTCCAAGTAGGGGTCATTCTGGAAGTCCGGGAAGTCAGTGTACATGTGGGCGTCACTCATGTAGGGGTAGCTGGGCTCCATGGAGTAGCCGTGAGAACCGCAGAACTCGAAGAAGCCTTCGCTGAGGCCACACACGTAGCCTTCCATGTTGGTCTCAATTGTGGTTCTGATGGGAAGATTCGGAGCTGAGTTTGACTGTCAGAAACTGAGTTTTTGCTCTACGAGAAACGCCTGCTCAGGGTTAGGCTATAACTGGATTTGGTTTTGGTAGAACACACTGAGATGAGTTTTTGATAAGGCAGTAGTTGGCGGTGGAAAATGTTAGTTCCTTGAGATGCCAAAGGTCTTAGCAGTAAGGATGCCTGAGTTATTGCTTTCCGTAAAATTGTAAATGGAATTGGGTTTTTTTTTTTGGTCATCAAATGGGTGTCGTAAAAATTTCTTCAACCATTGGCTACTGCATCAGTCTCTGTTTGATTAGTAGTCTCCAGGAATGAAAGAAATGATCTTTGCAGCATACAAAATTAATTCAGTATAAAACCCAAGGGTACAATGAATGCAATGTATGGCTTGTCGTACTTTCTATAGAAAGAGTAGAAGAAAAAGTGTCCTGGTCACGTATGAAATGCAGATCTGAGGACGCACAGGGTGATATATGCCAGACTATCGATGATTCGGGAAAATTGCTGATTGCTATATAGACGGTACTCCAAGTCACGCCAAGTTCCTCTGTCAGTGTCGATAGTCTGTGTTCTGGACAAAACGTCGAAGACTGACTGAGCTAGAGCTCAGAACGATGTGAATACAAGTAGATTAAAGCCCAGGTCCTAGCCTGAAGACTCCAGGGGCTGACACAGTTGCTTTGAAATCCGTAGTCTCCTTCCTTATGTAGCTGTGTTGTCTTCCTTTGGTAGCAGTGTTGTATAGCTCCTTCCTCATTAACTTCATACAAATAAGTATAAATAAATTCTAAATCTCCAGATATTGATGTTCCAAACGGCCTTTGTTATTTTGATCAAGATATCTCGTTGTTGTCCAATAAATAGCGAATCTGGTGTTTAAGTTAAGTTACATGGACACTGAGTTTTGACAGAGTATCGAAAAAGTTATATTTTCTGAAGAGAAAGTTCACACAGTACTCCAGCAAAGTTATTTCTTAAATAATTTTCTCTCTCAAAAGTCACAGTGCCTTTTTTTCTTGAGTCCTTGATTGATTGAAAGTCATAAAAATGAAAGACTATTTAAAACAAAAAGAGATAATATGCGTGCTCTGACTGACAGAGCCTGCCTATTCTGTTTTCCCCAATGTAACCACTTGTTGTGTGAGCCACAATGGATCTGTTTCACCGTTTTTAAAACAAAGCGCGTCCGTGGGAAAATTCTAAAGTGAAACCAGAGACATGGACTGTTTGTTTTAGTCGTTGACTCAAGACAAGACCTGGAGATAAAGCGACGGTAACGAGACAGCGATTGGTCAGCTGGGCAGGTATGCGGCACGCGTCCACTTACAAAGCGCACGCGACGCCGTTGTTTTCACACGCGACAAGCGACACTAACGCTCCAGCCAATCAGAGCCGTCGGTTGAGCTGTCCCTCACCGGACTCCGCCCCGCCCCCTTGTGCCGCTTGCAGTGACGATGATAACGACAGACTTTTACGGTCATACAGAAATAATGAAAATATAACGTGTCTCTTCGGGGTGACCTAGCGGTAACTTCGTTTTGGGAATCTTGGATATTGTGTGGAATGTTCCAGTTCGAATCCTTACATGGCCTACATATACGTAATTAGTTATAGTTTGAAGAGTTAAAAAACACGCTTCTGGAATGTTTGTCTCTTCATGGAAAACATGTAGATATCTAGTAAAGCAGTTAATGACTATTCTTTTTCAACATTCTCT